CTCAGCTCCTTCCCTCAGAACACCGTTGTGGGCTCCTCCACTTCCGCCGCCGTTGGCAGCATCCTCAGCTGTGAGGGAGTGCCCATCAACTCCGGGGGCTTCGACCTCTCCTGCATCACCAACCGCTACTGCGGCACCAGGTGCAGACCCTGCTAAAGCTGCTGGCTCCTTTTTCAGTCTGGAACCTCTGAAGTTGTAAGGAAATTTTGCTGATCAGGAGATAGAGTACTGGGGCATTGTTTGCTCCTTCCACTGTCCTCTCCATTCCTTTCCTGTCTCCACCTCCCACACCAGCCCCGTGGGGACCTCTTGGCCTCCCTCCCTCCCTCCCTCCCTCCCAGTGAGGGACAGGCAGACGGACACCCTGCAGGAGCTGCACCGCCTCTTGGTGGCTGCCCCTGGTGCTCCCTGGGAGCCACCTCCTTTTCTTCTTTACCCTCATTAAAGTTGTGCTGCATCCAAGCCTGGGCCTCCGAGTCCTCCTTCCTTCTGTGGGAAATCCTCAAGTCTGCTTCCCCTTGGAGGTGGTAAAAACATCCCTGATTACTCTACCGGCAATGGTCATCAGGGAGACCTGGCTTCAGAGGGTGTCTTGAGTGGGCATGAGGAGACAATACTGCCGGAGGACAACCAACAGCCTCATCTGTGCCTTCCTCTCCCCTACATCACCCAGCACACCACCCTTACATGCCCAGCACACATGGGCACATGCAGATGAGATCCTACCTCATACAGTCCTTTATTACCTGGCAGGGCTCAGCTCTCTCCACTCTTGCAGTGGTGAGGTAACCCAACACTTAGGACTGGTATCAGCCAACTCAGGCTGTGCTATGGAGTCCCCACTACCTGTGAACCCAGCACCCCCAGCAGGATCTCATTGTATTTCAGGTGTTCATCTTCTTTGATCAAATGAATGTGGCTTCTATATGAATGCAAACATAGATGTGCTTTTCAATGGTACTTGAAAATTTCCTTTGTAGGCCTTGGTCTTCAGTCTCAGGTAATGCTCCCTGTTGTTCTTCACTGTGAGCATGGGATTTACATGGAAATAACCCTCTCCCCCCCCAGTTCCCCGTTACAGTTCTCTGGAGCGAGATTGAAGCAGTCAAGAGGCCTGAGTCTGTGCACCCGTAACCTCATCCTTGCTAAGCTCCACATTCCCTCATGTGCGCTGCCTCAGAGCTATTTGATCCCCCTCAGAAACAGATTCACTGTCCCCGTTTTGTGTTCTGAATGCCCTCACCTCCCACACACTTGGCTCCAGCCTTGGGGCATTCAGCAGCGACTCCTTCTAATAGCACGTCCCTCTGACTGCTGCCCATGGCTGCTGGTCATGGCACCTAGACTGGGTCGTGGAGAAAAGAGGAAGGTGGAGTAGAAGCCATTGGCTCTCCCAAAGACTGTTGCCTCCATTACGACTTCTGTTATTATGCAGAGCAAATAATCCTAATTGTTCTATGAGATGATTCTATGATCACCCACTGCCCCTGCCACCCCAGCACAGCTCTGAGAATAACAAGAGGAATAACCTCCCTCAAGAAATCATGGGTTTGCTGATGCCTCAAGGCCTCCTGCCGTGAGTGCATTTGTGGACACAGCAAGGGAAGGCCCGATAGTCACTGGCAGTAGAGCAACCAAGGATGTATTCCTCATCTCCAAGGGACAGTATCAAAAAGCTCCAGCTCCTGCTGGGCGTCCCAACCTCCCAGTCCTTTGTGAATGGAGAAGAATCTCCTTGTGCCCTCAACCCCTTCCACTCCTGAGCAACACCCTTCCCCTTTGGCAGCCTGGAGTGGCTTCACAAAGAGAAGGACCACAAGGAGGCCAGGCTTGCCAGTGAAGCAGAACTTTAATGAGTTAAAAGAGGGAAACAAAGACCGAGTGGAGGGCACCAGTGCAGGGATCCCTGGGGAAAGCCAAGAGTCTGCGGTTCTTGGCTGTGGAGAAGGGAGAGAAAGGAAAGCTCATTCAGCTGTGTTGAAAACAACATCCAGAAGATCGATCCTCTATCCAGCACCATGCCCTGAGTTCCTGCAGGTGTCTCCCGGGGCTCTCCCAGCACGTTTATCAGAGGAGGTACCTCCTGCCACCATAGCGTCGGGAAATGCCAGAGAGGTCGAAGCCCCCGGAGTTGATGGGCACTCCACCGCAGCTGAGGATGCTGCCAATGGCAGCGGAGGTGGAGGAGCCCACAACGGTGTTCTGAGGGAAGGAGCTGAGGATGGGGCCGGGCAGGGTCACCACCACAGCAGGAGGCTCGATGACAACAGTGGAGCTCTGGCACTGCCTGACACAGCACTCATTGCAGCTGTTGGCCAGCGGGGTCGGGCCGCAGGGCTGGCAGGGCACGCACGGGTTGTAGCAGGACATGTCTGGATGCTGGAGCTTCACCTGGACACAGGGCAGGGGCAAGCAGAGGATGAGCACAAGGGTGGATGAGGAGCAGCCTGGCTTTCCTGTGGCAAAGAGCCAAGGCCGCTAAGGAGCGGGCAGCTGGAAGCTGCGCCAGGTGCCACAGGGTCTCCATTGCCAATATAGAGCAGCCTGGGACAGGGAGGGTCTCTTGGAATTTGTAAACCAAAAGCCCCTTCAGCCACTTCCCAGCCTTTCTCTAGGCAGACATTCTCCCCACTTCTCTCATCTATGCACAACGCTGCAAGCCCCAGCACAGGATAAGGCTAACATCAGCTGAGAGTTTCACTGAGGATAGACCGCGCTTTTAAGAGGAGGACAAGGGGCTTCAGACTCACCTGGTTCTCAAGGAGAAGGAGGCAAGAGAAGTGGATGAGAGAGCAGGGACCTGGCCTGCCTTTTATATCTGCCCATCACTGCCGCAGGACCAGAGGTGCCTTTGCAGAGGTAACAATTATCTGACAAGCTCATCTTGATGCAAACCATTGCAGCTAATGATATGGGCTGTGCTTTGGTTTCCAACACTGCTGCCTTTTCATTTCCAGGTTTGGGCCATGCCTGTTTCCCAATGAAGGCTTCTTCTGAGCACAGGCATGAAAGGCTTGGGTTTTCTCAGTCAGGAATGGTTCTGGGGATCTATTCTCAGGCAATCTCACCCAGCACTGCACGCAGAAGCTCATATGGAGAGTGCTGGCTTTCCATCTGGATCCCACCCTATGAAATGGAGTCTGTTGCTCATCTACTTCACCTGAGAAAGCCTAGGGTACTTTGTTGTTGTGCTGCTGCTGTTTCAGGGTCGCCTGCCTCTCCCAGGTGACATGGGTCTGCTCTGCCAACGCTGTTGGAGTCTTTGCATGCCCCTATTTATCTCAGAGAGCTCTAGACAGCATTGATGGGGAATGGATGGTAACCTGTAATCTACTGTGTATAGTGTTCTTCGGACATTTCAGATCCTGCTTTTGGTTGCTCTGCAGGGATGCAGAGGGCTTCAGCGCCATGGACACAATTCTGCCCCTAACATAAAGAATGACAAGCAGTGATGGCTGAGGACAGACCCAGGCACACACTTGTTCTCCAGCCTCAGTGAGCTGTCCAAAGTTGAGCATCAGCCTGTCCTTGGGCACTGGTGCCTGGGCCTGGCTGCAGGTCTATAAGCCAAGTGCCCAAGCTCAGTTGAACAAAGGGGGTTGTTGACTTGCCTCCAGAAGCACCACTGCTTCTGGAAGGGAGAAGTAGATGCTCAGTCCAGACTCAATCATCTCATTTGGAGGGCTCTACAGGTGAAATCAATCCCACACTGTTCATATACGTTTATCTGCCATGCTGAGGCCTCCTCCTTGGGAAGTGGTTGCATGGACTCCCTTCCCTGTCAGTGTGCAGAAAGAAGAGCTTGGAGAACATGATTCATCTGTTCTGAAATGAAAATCATAGGAAGGTGGAAAGCAAGTGCCCTTTGGAAGTGCTAATGCCTTCTCAATGAATGCAAAGACAGACTTGTTACCCAGCCAGCCTCCCACAGCTCTGCAATTTGAGGACTTTGCCAATCGCATTAAAGTGTTTCCACAACAGAGCCCAAAATGAGTGGAACAATGGACTATTAAAATCATACGTGGGGTTTTAGATGTGGAAATGTCCTGACACATCTAGCATGAAGCACAGCAATTTGAATGTTTTAATAAAAACTAATAAGGTACATACAGGGGCTGAGGAGAGGAAAGAAGAGCAGTGTGAGTTTTGCTGCCAGTCCTATGCCAGGAATAATGGCCATAGGTTATACCAGAAAGTGTAGATTTTATCTTAAACCAGAACCAAGTTTCTCAGCACAGCTACTAGGGGTAAGGCTCACCTGTGTGGTTTTGCCATCTCACAGGCAGGGGAAGGGATTCTGCTGACCAAGTGGAAAGATGTGTGATGAACCTAACCTCGGCTCCTCAACTTACCCCCGTTCTTCAGACAGAGAAAAGAATAGGGCATAGCTGCAGCCAGAAAACATCACACTAAATGGGGAAATGAGCCAGCTGCTGGCACTTCTTTAGGGATTCAGATGAATCTCTGACAAAATGGAGCACTGAGTAAATTGTAATACAAGCCTGTAGGAGGAGGACCCCTCCTCCGATGTTCTGGCAGAGAACTATTTCTTGATGGGGTTTGTGACCTTCCCCAAGTGCTGGTCCTTAGAGCACTGTGAGAGGAGCATTAGAATTATAGAATCAAGGAGAATCGTAGAGTCAAGACTCAGCCCAGACTAAGAAGACTGTAAGGTGAGTGAGATGAGCTCACTGTGGCTTCTAACTGCCTGTGATGCCCAGGCACACTGTAAGCTCACACTGAGGTCTTCTGAAAACCTGCTTCACTTCTTCTGGAAAGCCCTCCCCAGAGCTTGCTTCACGTCTTTGTTTCTGAATGTGTAAACGAAGGGGTTCAACAAAGGAGTTACAATTGTGTTAAGGGTATTCACGATTTTTTTCACATCCATGTTGTTCTGGGCTGATGGCTTGACGTATAGGAAGATGATAGAGCCATACCAGATCGTGACGACACTGAGATGGGCAGAGCAAGTGGAAAAGGCCTTTTTCCTGCCGTGGGCTGACTGGATCCTGAGGATGAAATAGATAATGTATATGTAGGAGACCAGGATGACCACACAGGAGGCCACCACAACCATTATGGAGACAAGGAAAGTCGCCAGCTCCACGGGCCACCTGTCACTACAGGAGAGGGCAAGGCAGGCATCTATATCACAGAAGAAATGGTTGATGACATCTGGCCCACAGAATGTCTGCCTGGATGTCAGAAAGGCCAGAAGTGAGATGGCCAGGAAGCCTCCCAGCCAGGAGCTGAGTGCCAGCTGAGCAGAGATGACACTGTTCATGAGGGAGCCGTATCTCAGAGGGTAGCATATGGCTAAGTAGCGGTCATAGGCCATGACAGACAAGAGAAAACACTCAGTGGAGCCTAGGGAGAGAAGAAAGAACAACTGGAAGATGCAGACACTGAAGGAGATGGTCTGGCTAGTCCCCAGCATGACTCCAATGGCTTTGGGAACAACACCTGTAGTGTACCAGATCTCCAGAAAGGACAGATTGCAGAGGAAGAAGTACATTGGGGTATGGAGATTCCTGTTCATCCACACGAGGGCTATGATGGATGCGTTGCCTGTTACTGTCAGGGAGTACATCAGTGCGAACACGATCGCAAAGGAGAGCCGGGAACGCCACGTGCCTGGGAAGCCAAGAAGGATAAATTCTTCCACGATTGTCCCATTTGCTGTGTGCCCCCAGGTGTTGAGGTCCATCTGCAAAACAGGATGTTTGTGTGTGAGTTTGCATGCCCCCGCTGGTCCTGCAGATGCTACCAGTAGTGAAACAAATCCAGCCCCAAAAAGGAGTTTGTGCAGACCATGGGAAAACAGCATCTATCCTAACTGAAAATTGCCAGGAAAATCCTTCCCTGCAGAAACACGTTTGGACAATTAGATCTGACCCTGAAACTCAGGCCTATAGCACCAAATGAACAGTCATTAGTGAAGGAGTTGTAGTCCTGTACGTTTGCTTTCCTCCAAGCCTCACCATAGGAAGCTTTTGCATATACCTCCATTACCCCCACTGACATCTGCTTCTCAGCATAGCTTAGCCCTTACTAGGGGTAAGGCTCACCTCTCTAGTTTTGCCATCTCAGACAGAGGAAGGACTTCTGCTGACCAAGTGCAAAGATGTATGATTGAAGCACACTTATCTCACCTCCTCAGCTTACCCCTGGCTCTTCTTTGGACAGAGAAGAGGCACTTGGGAAAGAGACATGGCTTATCTCGCCTCACATACACGGCTCAAGGCCCTCTAGAAGTTCCAGATTGTCTTTAAGGACTAGTGCAGGAGTCTAGCAAGCAGCTTGGACAAGTAAACTGGACATCTCAACTTCCCAGAATCATAGAATGGTTTGAGTATGAAGGGACTATAAAGGTCATCTAGTTTCCCAGTGGTTGAAGGCAAAATTCTCTGAGGTGATTCCCTCCCAGGGCAGCTCTGCTGAGAAGCCAGGTGAACCAGGGGGCTTCACCTGTGTCCTGAGGAATTTACATACCAGAAGCCTCATGTGGCCAAAGAGCAGAGAAATCCCTTTTAGTGTGGCTCTCCTTAAGCATGCAAGGGATTGGAAGTCTATACATACAGTATACGTATGTCGTATGTCTTGGGCAGGCTTCACTCACCAGCTCAGCTAATGGAAATGATCCAAACGACCTCTCTTCATGCACCATCCTCTAAATGAAGCCACGATCCCCTCTGGCTGAGGGAGAACATTAGAAAGAGGTTGATTTATTGGAGGAGCTCTGGATGCTGTGATGTCAGGAGAAGCTCTCATCTCACGGACTCACTTCAAGCTGTACACAGCTGCCTGACATTGTTTCCTCACTGTCCACCCTAATAGGTATAGAGAGCTCGGGCTCCTGATTTTCTGCCCCCCTGCACACAAAGCCACCACTGTACATCCACAAAGAGGGGGGGACTTGTGCATGCAGACACACACACGCAGGGTGAAGTCTCTGCAGTTTAGCTCCATATAGTGAGGGCATACATCAGTCACAGCATCATTAGCATAAAGCCATCCCCACACCCACCTCATTAACACACTGAAGTTCAGTCTGGCCACACCGAGGAAACTTTTTGCTGTCTTCCCTCTGTGTGCCCCAGGGAGTGTGGTCTCCAGGGGATCTTATCTGCTTGTTGCAGAGGGATAATGATATCTCTTCACATAGGCCAATTAAAGAGCAGCAAAGCAATTCTCTGAATTGGCTGCCAGGCTGGATGTTAGCCTCCTTACTGCACCTGTGGTATGTGAACCTGGCCAGGAACTCAGTGCTTGCTCTGCTGACATGCAGATGTCTGAAATAGCCATGTCCCAGAGACTGGAATTGCAAAGTGTCTGGTACTCAATTGTAATGTGGTCTTGAGACCTTTAGCGTGGGAAATAACTAAAAGCAACTACTCTACTCTCGTGTGACCCCACTTGCAGCACTGTGTACGGTTCTGGGGTCCTCACTGTAAGAAGGACATGGAGCTGTTGGAGCAGGTCCAGGGGAGGCCATGAGGATGGTTAGGGGCTGGAGCAGCTCCCTTGTGGAGCCAGGCTGAGAAAGTTGGAACTGTTCAGCCTGGAGAAGAGAAGCTGTGTGGAGACCTCAGAGCAGCTTCCAGCATCTGAAGGGGGCCTACAAGGATGCGGGAGGGGGACCTTCATTAGGGACTGAAGTGATAGACAAAGAGTGATGGGTTCAAACTGAAATGGGGGAAGGTCAGGTTAGATCTAAGGAAGAAATTCTTCCCTGTAAGGGTGCTGAGGCTCTGGCACAGGGTGCCCAGAGAAGCTGTGGCTGCCCCATCCCTGGCAGTGTTCAAGGACAGGTTGGACAGAGCCTTGGGTGACATGGTTTAGTGTATGGTGTCCCTGCCCATGGCAGCGGAGTTGGAACTGGATGATCTTAACATCCTTTCCAACCCTATTCTATGATTTTATGATTCTAACTATTAGTACAGAGAGAATAAGGTGAGGTGTTCACCTATGTCATTACAGAACGTGTAGCTTCAGTTCAGCCTTGGCTGCCTTGACCATGTGGAGCTTAAAGATCCTCGAAGGACTGACCAAGAGAACAGGATGACTACTGCCCTGGGTTTTAGAAGAGCATATCTTCAAGTCTTCAGGGACCTAGCTACTTGGCAGGATGCATTGGAAAATGCCCTGGTGCTAAGAGGGTCCCAGGAGGGCTGGTTAACCTTCAAGGACAGACTCCTCAGAGCACAAGGATCATGGAATCATAGAATGGTTTGAGTTGAAGGGACCTTAAAGCTCATCCAGCTCCAACCCCTGTCATGGGCAGGTACACCTTCCACTAGAGCAGCTTGCTCCAAGCCCCTGTGTCCAACCTGGCCTTGAACACTGCCAGGGATGGGGCAGCCACAGCCTCTCTGCGCTGTGGGTTTCTCCAAGCCAAACACTCTTCCACATTCAATGTCCCATAAGAAGGAGCTTGAAGCCCAGCAGTGGGTAGAGTGGGTACCATCTGAGATGGCCATTGAGGCAAGACCTCATCCTGGAGGGGAGAAAGATCTTCCCTCACCTTGTCATCTATGTGGAAGGAGACAAGAGAAGTGAAGGAGGGAAGGAGCAAGGAGTTCTACTGGCTCTTTTACTGGTCCTGCACTTGCCCAGGTCCACAGACACTCTTTGTGGAGGTAGTAATCTTCTGACACGCTAATTTACAAAGCAAGATGCCCCAGCTAATGGTGCAGACTGTGTTTTGATTTCCTACAGTGCTACCTTTTAATTTTCTCCTTCCTAGTATGCCATTCCCTCATGGAGGGCTGGGAACATGAGCCCAAAGATTTCCAGGGCAGAAACACATTAGAACAGGCAGAAGATGCAGACCAAGAGCCACAGGGATCCTGTGCAGGCACATAATGCAAGGCTGTGGCATTCTGGTGGGGTTGTTTGTGTCTTTCTTTGCAGGGAGTGGCTCAGCTGCTTCCAGCCCTGAAGTCCTCAGCCCCACACCCCGAGGCTCTTGTCCATGAGGATGTCACATAGAATCATGGATTCATAGAATCAACCCAGTTGGAAAAGACCTTTATGATCCTTCAGTCCAACCGTTTCCCACCACTGCCAAGGCCATGGCACTGAGGGCCTCATCTACACCGTGTGTGAATGCTTCCAGACGATGACTCCAGCACTGCCCTGGCAGCCTGTTCCAATGCCTGAGCACCCTCTGGGGAAGGAATTGTTCCTAATCTCTGGTCTAAACCACCCCTGGTGCAGCTCCTTCTCTGCCTGACTTATAGGGTTTGGATATTTTCTCCTAATGCTGCTCTGTTTGGCCTCCTGCTGTACCTGAGAAGTCTCTGGGATCCTCAGGATATACTATGGGGCTTTATTGTAATCTAAGGTGCTCCAGCCCTTCCCTGCCTGGGTGAACCCCAGTGCCTCCTCTCTTAATCCCACAACTACTTATGTGGAAGCACATGTGTTTGTCTGTGTGGACATCTGTGTGTGTGGACCTCTGTGAATTCATGTGTGTGCAAAGCTGTGCCAGCCAGCATCTTACTGAGGAGGTGTTGAACTGGAAAAGGACTAACACCTTGGTCTAAGCAGGCATTGAAGTCAGGGGACTGCCATCCTGATGTCACAGTGCTGTGCCCAGGAAAGCCAAAGAGCTCATGAGTCCTTTGGTCTCTAGTTCCAAAGACCTTCATGTCCAACACTGAAATCTGAGTGTGAATGACCAGCAACTGGCCCTGGCAAAAAGGCATGTCTGCTTCAAGGTCACACATCCCAAATCCTGCTTAGTTCCCTGACGGGGTCAAGGAAAGATGCTCTTTCCCCCAGGGGTTGGTAGTGGCAGAAGGAAGGACATTGTGAGATGTGGAAATGTCTGTCTTGGGAGCTTCTTCCTTGACGAATTCCTCCTCTAGGCAACTTCTGGTTTCTTCCAGTCAATAACTTCCTTCTATTGCAGTCTGGCTTTCCACGTCCATGGACACATTTGAAGCCTTCTGGTGGGAAATGGGGGTTAGAACAGCTGGTTCTCTAGCTGCCTCATACCCATGAGTTCATTTCTCCTCATACACCCTTCCCCTCGGGCATTGGTTTTAGTTGGACTCTTGCTCTCGTTTTGATCTCATCCATTGACACCACAAGTGGACGGAAAGAATTGCACAGCCATGTACACGGAGACATGTGAGAAAACATGCTTATAGCCACACACACACACAGAGTGCAACCATGTGACACACAGATGTGTGTGGTCACAAGTATGCAGGAAAAAAGGGGGAAAAAATGAAGTCTTAGCCTTCATTTTTAAAATGACAGCTCTCAAGCCAGCTCCCGGTGGCTATTCCTTAACACTCAAGTAGTTTCTTTCATACTACAATCAAACCTTTATTTGTGCAAAAAGGGACATTGGTTTTTTGCTCTCAATTCAGAAGCCTAAAATACAGATGTTTTTACATAAACCTATCTACATAAACTTCACACACAAGCAAAACACAGCAATGGAGATGTCTAAGTGATAATTTCTCTCTTACTACAGCAGAAATCTGTTTTAGAACACATAAACTGTGGTTTCACTTTATCTCTCTCACTTCATTCAATACCAGTGGAGAACAAGGTGATCAGCCAAGCCACAATTCTTTATGTTCAAGATATTTGACCTGAATCATTACCCCTTCAGGCCTTCAAATAAACTTTCTTCACAGAGTAGAGCTGAAGAGCTCAACTGGAAAACACCTTCAGCAGAACTCTCCCGACGATCAGTGCCTTGGATACTTGTTGAATGCCTCTCCTTAGATTCATTGTCCTCTTCTCCGATCATTTCTTTTTTAGATAAGCTCTGCAGAAATGTTTTCACAACATTCAGAGAATATTGTGAGTTTCCTCTTACCCCAAGTAAACGCTTCCGCAGAGTACAGATCTACCTCTGTATCAACGGACAGGACATAGAGGACACAATAGTATGCAACTAATTTGATCTGTATGCCAAGCATACCTTAAAATGACATGAAAAATGATGTGAAAATTACCTCTTTTAGAAGAAAAAAAATATTAAATATGTAGATATGAATTTTTGGGTAAGTGATGGTGGCAAATCATGTTCTCCTTCCACTAATGCACACAATATCACAGCTTTAATTTACTATCATTTCCAAACATGTCACATACTTATCTTTTTGGCTATCAGTCTTTTCAAGGCTTGTTTCACCTCTTTGTTCCTCAAGCTGTAGATCAAAGGGTTCATCACTGGAGACATCAGTGTGTAAGAGAGAGACAACAGTTTGTTACTGCTGCTTGAATAAAAAGCTTTGGGTCTCAGGTAGGTCACAATTCCAGATCGTAAAACAGAGTCACCACGACCAGGTGAGAGAAGCAAGTAGAGAATGTTTTTCTCTTGCCCTTAGCTGTTGGCATCTTGAAGATGGTGTGGAGAATCTGGACATATGATGCAACTATAAATAAGAAGGGGACCATGATGAAGACGACAGCTACTATGTAGATGGTGATTTCATTCTTGTAGGTGGCCCCACAAGCCAACTTCAGAAGAGGTGGCAGGTCACAGAAGAAGAGATTGATCCTCTTGGGCCCACAGTATGTAAGGGTAAAGATCAAAGTTGTCTGCCCTAAGGCCAGCAAGACTCCAACACGCCAAGACACAGCTGAAAGCAGGAAGCATGTGTTCCAGCTCATCATGGTCATGTAGTGCAGGGGATGGCATATGGCCAAATAGCGATCATAGGCCATGGCAGCCAGCAGCCAACATTCTGTGATCCCGAAGAGGGAGAAGGCATACATCTGTGTCCACAGCCCAGAAAGGATATGCCTTTCCTTTTTATGAGTAAGTTCACTAGCATCTTGGGGATTGTGGATGTAGTGTAGCCAATCTCCAGGAAGGACAAGTTCTTGAGAAAAAAATACATGGGGGAGTGAAGGGCAGCATCTACCACAGTGATTGTAATGATGAGGATGTTTCCCACCAAAGTACTGATGTACATGAACAATACCAGACAAAAGAGAAAGCCCTGGATCTCTGGGATGCTGGAGAAAGGTAAAAATTGAAAATAGGTCACCACTGTGTGGTTTCTGCTGGTCATGTCCCTCAGGCTCTTTTTAACTGCAGAAGTCATTACGTCCCCGCTTTCTAGTTAATCTAGAGAAATACAAAATAGTAAATTAAATCTTTACATATATATTGCTTTGTAATAGCGCAGGATCCCAGAAAAGTAAGTGATATTTTACTGCTGTCTTTAGGTATTTTCACTGCTAAAGGGGTTTTTTAGAGAAGGAAGGGAAGGTGGTTCCCTTCAACATAGCTTTTGATAAGTAAGAATTGTACTTCACAATGGAAAGGAAGATATACCTTCTTTATGATAGCACAAGATTTTACTCTTCCTGCCTTTCAGAATGAGGATTTTACTCTACTGCCCGAGTCTCTGATGTGGACTTTTCTCCCATTATCTAGCTGAGATCTGCTACTGTAACACCCACTGCCAAGCAAAGAAGGCTGGTCCGTAAAACCCAGAGATGATTAATTAGTTGATAGAGTGGACTTTTGGCCATGAGTCCCTTTTGCTATCATTCTCTGGATGGGGTTCATTCTAGGAAAGAATCACCTCCTGGACACAGATAATCCCGTATCCACTCTACAGTCCCACGCAAGAGTACTAAAACGTGGATCATTTTCCAGGAAATTACCTTTGTCCCAGCACTCTTCAGGAGGAGCAGTCCTTTCCAAGGATAAGAATAGCCTTGGAATTTATCTTCTATTCCAATAATCCATCAACTTCCTAGATAGATGAATCTCCCTTAAAGAGAAACTCTGTGTAAGTGACAGAAGAACAATAACATAGGGAAGAAGAAGACTGAGCTAAAATAAAGGAGCTCACCCGCTAGCAGGGGAAGGCTGTGGTTAATATTTTGGGAAAAGCCACACCACCAACCTGGAGTATTTCAATGTGTTTATCTTCCCAGTGGAAAATTGTCTGCTGCGGATTGATCGCTCCCAATTATAGGAGTCAGTTATTTTTTCTCTCATTGTTTAGGTACAAAAACCTCTCTCTGGTTCCCCTGTCGGCTCCTGCTTTCTGCTGTTCATAGAAGATGACTGCAATGCAGAGGTCACTCTACAGTCAGTGACTAAAGAGAAGAGTGGGAAAAGACAGTCCTAAGGTCAGGTGAAAGAAATTCAGACTGACTAAGATGTCTCAACTGGCAGTGTGGCTATCAGTCAGCAAGTCCACTTTTAACCAAATATAATCCCCAAATTTCTGGAATAAATTTCTCTGCTCTCTGGCTGCACTTTGGCCAAAATCCCCAGACCTCTACAGGTGGAATTTTTCTGTATTGATTCAGATAACCAACATCTCCCCAGAAAAATCTCACCTGGTTGGTGGCACTCCGGGTGATCTGCTCCATAACCTTCCTCGGCATCAAGGTCAGACTGACAGGCCTGTAATTCCTTGGATCCTCCTTTCAGCACTTCTGGTAGGAAGGTGTCACTGGTTGGTTGATTGAGAGGAGGTCTGGTGAAAAAAAGGAAGTTCCAGGGAGATGAAAAGTGGGTCAAGAAATAGCAGAAACAGTGAATGAGCTATAAATTTGGGTGAAGCCCAAAGGAGGTGAGCATATTTCACAGACAGGAGTGCTAACACCTATGCACAGTTATGAAGCTTCTGTGATTCAAAGTCCGCTTGGACGCCAGAAGGAACACCCTTGTATAACCCACTGAAGTTTCCATCATGCCAACAAACAAAAAGCTCTTGGGGGAAAGATGGGGAAAGGAAGTATGGGCTTGAGAACTAATGTTGAGTTGTTTGGGAAAGGGATTATCATTCAATAGCAATCATGCATGATTCAAAACCTTTTAGAAGTAACAATCAGTATCTCTATAGTAGCCATCTACAAAAGTGTGTATTTTACAATCTAAAATTATGTGTTGATTAGGATTTTGATAACATGATTTATTAGTTTCTTTGCAGTACCTTACTTAAACAGTTGTGTTGTAACTTCTCAAATACATTACGTCTTGAGTGTGTAGTCTTCAAGGAGAGAGTGAAATGAAGTATTGCAGGCTTAGTCTACACACTTCAATCATAGAATAATAGAATACCAGGTTGGAAGGGACCTCAAGGGTCATCTGCATCATGCTTTCTAGGCAAAGCATGACCTAGACTAGATGTCCCAGCACTCTGACCAGCCAAGTCTTACAGGTGTCCAGTGCTGGGGAATCCACCACTTCCCTGGGGAGATTATTCCAATGGCTGATTGCTCTCACTGTGAAAAACCTTCCTCTTGTGCCCATACTGGAACGTGGTGAGAAGGTCTCCTCTGAGCCTTCTTTTCTAAGGACTAAACAAGCCCAGCTCTCTCAGCATTTCCTCACACACTGCCCAGTCCTTTGACCACCTCTGTGGCACTTCTGTGGCCCCTTTCCAGCCTGTCCACATCTGTTCCGTACAGCAGGGACCAAAACTGAGCACAGTATTCCATGGGTGGCCTTTCAAGAGCCAAGAAGAGTGAGATAATGACATCTCTGTCTCTGATGATGATGCACTTGTTGAGGTAACCCAGCATGCTGTTGGCTTCCTTTGCTGCAGCAGCACACTCATCACTCATATTGCACTTGCTGTTCACCAGGACCCCCTGGTCCCTTTCCACAGAGCTGCTCCCCAGCCGGATAGATCCCTGACAGGGTTGTGTTTCTCCTTTCTCACACACAGAAGTGCACCTAAAGTTCTCACTTCTGATCCATACTGCAGTGAGTGAAAGGAAAATTGGTTTTCTTGATTGTGAGAAAGTATATGGAGATCATGGGCCCAAAATGGTCCTCTCTACCTGGAGCACAGATGGTGTGAATAGCCTATCTGCTCTGAAACAAGACAGTCATTCTTGTGCTAACAGATTATTTAGATATTAAACTGGAACAGATCAGAAACTAACTGTAATATGTTGGTGTTCATACAGGGGACTGAGTCTCAGGAAGACCTATACCAAGAAATACTGATAGGTATTATTAAACAATATTAAAAATATATTGGTGTTAAAAATATCTTGAATTTGCCTCTTTCTTTCAGTTTCTCCAGTTCTTCCCCTCTGCCTTTGCTCACATCCCTTGCTTCTTGTTCTCTCTTCCCAAGACAATAAAGTTTCTTTCCAAGATGCTCAGTGAATTCATCCCAAGGCATTAGAGTTCCACCAACTTTTAACTAGGCCTCTGTGTTTAGCTGAGTCCCTCCCAGGGGTGGCAACTGGAGACAACTGGGGAGAGCAATCACTAACTCGGAAAGTTTTAGTCTCCGGAGTGAGTCTAATCCCAGAAGTCCTTGTTAGCTCCAGTCAATTGTTCTTAAGTTTTTTACTGAAGGCAAATATTCCATTGTCTGAAGGCAGGATCCTATCAATACAAATGTGGATAAGAATGGGAACGCAGGTCTGCCTGATGTGACACCCTTGCAAAATCAGAGTGGGAGAAAGTTCGGGTGTTCCAGAACTGCCTGAACCCCTTCCTGGGGCTGTCAGGACATTGCATTGGGTTCACTGGGCCAACGTGCACTTGCAAAGAGCTGGTTCACTTTCTTAACCCTGACCAGGAAAAGCATGACATTATCTAATATCTCCCAGGAGCAAGGACCAAAAGCAGCACAGACTGCTTCTCTGCTAGAGACAGAGATCACAGGTAGTATTCCTGGATCGTGTACGTTATGCACTCCCACTGAAGGAGGCTCAATGGTTCAAAATCACATGCTCCAGTGTCAACCAAACAATATCCCCACCAGCATGACCTGGGCAGGATGTCCTCCTGTATCTCATAGTGTAAAAGAGCAATAAGTGCCCTGGAAACCCTCAGACTAAACCTCCTCTTCTCCACCATTACCAGTACATAAGGAGTTATATTAAAAATTGCTCCTTTTCTGTCACTGTGCTGATTCCCTTTTTGACACCAGAATCTACAAGTGCCTCAGAGTGAGAGGGGAATGGTGCCATGCCATTCTGAGCTACAGACTCCATCCCAAAGCACTGGCACTGCCAAACTGTACCCACCACATGGCATCACAGAACCCGGCCTTTTTTCAGTCTAGGCCCCATTAAAGACGCCGAAAGAGAAAGCAATTAGTGGCCTTACATGACATTTACTGGTAAACCCTAACTGTGTTCCAAGTAAAGAAGAGCTCAGAGTCTTGGACTTAGTCATGCTGGTCTGACTCACACCTCTATCCCCAGTAACTCAGCTCATTATTCAAGCCCTAAAACTTTTGCTCAAGTGTCCTATTCATCGCACTGCTTCTCACAGCACATTTTGTACATATTATTGTTATGTCCTGGATTATCCGTTCTATCCTTTATCAATGCTATCCATTGTCTTAGGCGTGTTATCCACCCTCCTGTCTGATGTTATCTCACTGCTGTCTCCATCTCCTTGTGACAACACACTCCCTCAGTCAGTCTGTTACATCAAATACAGTTCTTAGCTTTCTGACATGTGTTACCCAGCTTTGGTGTCCCTTGCTCCAGCTGTTGTCTGAATTAATGTAGGAAATCACAGCCTTTCCTTAGCTTGCTCCAAAACAGTTTCAGCCTGCACATTCCACATTACAACACTCTATAAAACATCTAAAACATCAGTATCTAACCCATTGCCCAATCAAGCACTTTTGTGCCACCCACTACTCTGGTATGGTCATTACTTGCTAAGATACTATTGGGCCTGATCATGAAGTACGAACTATGATCGTGAACTATGTGACCAGGTAGCCAGCTGTCTGAACTGGTCTTTCCCTCTTCACCAGACCCCTGGTAAGCTACATTCATGCCAAGCCTGTCCCTCAGTGACATTCTGTCACCAGTAGTTTGCAGATGCCCGACAGCAGTGCAGCATCTTCTTTGCTCGACTACATCCACAGTGACTCTTAGCTGCTTAAGTTCTCTTTGCTGGGTATCCGGTGAGGCAGGGCTGGGGGAAGATGACTTCAGGCTGCTGCTCTCTGATGTTCCTGCTGGCTCACAGGCAAGAAGCAGCTTGCAGTGAATGGTGTTGGGCAGTAGATGGAAGCAGTAGCCTGAATATGTGCTGCAGGCACCATCTCCAGAGACAAAAGCCCCAAATGCTAAAGATGCTACTGCAGAAGGCAGAGCTGGGGAAGGGGGACTGGGGGCGACAGAGG